CATGTAAGCACAAATAAAACAGCTGTAGAATAAATATAAAAGGAAATGAGAAAGATTTAACTTAAACACTTAACTATAGGAAATCGACTGAACATGAAAGAATACGGTAACATAGAAAGTGAGGGACAAAAGAGCTGTAAAGCATATTTTTTTTAAATCTCCAAAAAATTATAGACGTCTTCCTTTGTTAGTAGTTACTCTAAAATATTGGCAGAATAGACAAAAAGAGAGATAGAGATTCATTTATATCCAAAAACTCAAGTAGGTTGAAAGTGAAAGGTCTGAAAAAGCTGTTCCATGCAAATAACTAAAACAGAGCAAAAGTGGCTGTACAAATGTTGGACAAAATAGACTTTAAATGAGAAAAAAAAAATTACAAGAGACAAAGAAAGATTATATATTAATAAAAGGTTCAATACAGCAGGAAGATGTAACAGTTATGAACATTTACACAATTAATGGCAGACCATCAAAATGTATGAAGCAAAAACTGACAGAATTGACGGGAAAAATCAACAGGTCTACAATCATAGTTGGAAACTTCTATACCTCACTCTCAACAACTAGACAGACAAGTAAGGAAACAGAGGATTTAAATAATACAATAAACCAACTCAATCTAACGGACAGATACAGAACTGCCCAACAACAGAACACTCATTTTTCTCAAATAGACATGAGACATTTTCCAGGAGAGACCACATGTTGGGCCACAAATGAACATTTAATAGATTTTTTTAAATGAGTATATGAGGCCAGGCGCGGTGGCTCATGCCTGTAATCCCAGCACTTTGGGAGGCCGAGGCGGGCGGATCATGAAGTCAGGAGATCGAGACCATCCTGGCTAACACGGTGAAACCCCGTCTCTACTAAAAATACAAAAAAAAAATTAGCTGGGTGTGGTGGCGGGCGCCTGTAGACCCAGCTACTCAGGAGGCTGAGGCAGGAGAATGGCGTGAACCAGGGAGGCGGAGCTTGCAGTGAGCCAAGATAGCACCACTGCACCCCTGCACAGGAGCCTGGGCGACAGGGCGAGACTCCGTCTCAAAAAAAAAAACAAAACAAAAAAAAAAAAAACTGGGTATATGAATATGAATATTGTCATGTATCTTCTCTCATCATAATGAGATGAAGTAGTAATCAATAACAGAAGTAAAGCTGAAATATTCACAAAATTGGGGAAATGTAACAACACAGTCTTATTAATAGACGCCCAATGAGTTAAGGAAGAAATCACGAGGAAAATTAGAAAATACTTAGAGTCTAATAAAAATAAAATATACAAAAACTTATGGGATTCAGCAAAAGTTGTGCTGAGGGAGAAAATTATAGCTATAGATGCTTACACGACAAAAAAGGACTTAAATCAACAACCTAACTTTACAATTTAAAGAACTAGAAAAAGAAGAAACTTAACCCAAAGTCAGCAGAATAAATGAAATAAAGATTAAAGCAGAAAAAAATGAAACAAAAGAATAAAATCAATGAAACCAAAAATTGTTTTCTGAAAATATTAACAAAATTTTATTTAGATGTACCAAAAAAAAAAGGCAAAACAGTGAGAGAGAGATAAAATTCTCAAATTGCTAAAAGCAAAAACGAAAGTGGGGACATTACAATGGATTCTCAAGAAACTAAAAGGATTATAAGACATTAAAGTGATCAATTGTAGCCCAACAAATTAAATAATCTAAATAAAATGGACACAGTTTTTGAAACACAACACCAAACATGACTAACTTATGAAGAAATAGACCATCTTAATAGACCTATAACTAGCAAGGCTGAATCAGTAATAGAAAAATTTCCTGAAAAATAAAAGTCCTAGACCTGATGGCTTCACTGGTGAATTGTAACAAAATGTACAAAATATAAAGAACAACTAACATCAGTGCTGCTTCTTCAACATCACAAAACAATGAAGAGGAGGGAACATTTTTTCTTTTTTTTTTTTTTTTTGAGAGTCTTACTCTGTCAGCCAGGCTGGAGTGTAATGGCCCAATCTCAGCTCACTGCAACCTCCACTCCCAGCTTCAAGCAATTCACCTACCTCAGCCTCCTGAGTAGCTGAGACTACAGCTACAGATGCCCACCACCACACCTGGCTAATTTTTGTATTTTTAGTAGAGACAGGGTTTCATCATATTGACCAGGCTGATCTCAAACTCCTGACCTTGTGATCCACCCGCCTTGGCTTTCCAAAGGCGTGATTACAGGCGTGAGCCACCTCACCTGGCCAGCAACATTCTTTAACTCACTTGATGAGGCCAGCATTGCCCTATTACCAAAGCCAGGCAACAGCACTATAAGAAAAGACAACTAAATACCAATAACCCTTATGAATAGTAATGCACAAATCCTCAACAACATACTAGAAATTCAGCAACATTTAGAAAGGATTACACACTTTGATCAAGTGGAATTTAATTCTAGAACACAATAATGGTTCAACATAAAAAAGCAATCAATATAATACACCAAGTTAACAGAATGAAAGAAAAAAAGAACAAATGATCATCTCAATGGGTGTAAAAAGAGCATTTGGTATAATACAGCACTTTTTTATGACTAAAAAAAAAAAAAAAACACTCAACAAAGTAGAAATAGAAGAAAAAAACTTCAGCATAATAAAAGCCATGTATTAAAAATCCACAGCAAACATCACACTCAATGTTCAAAGACTGAAAGCTTTTCTTCTAAGATCAGGAATAAGGCTACCCACTTTCTCCAATTCTTTTCAACCCAGAGTAATTAGGCAAAAATAAATAAATAAATAAATAAATAAATAAAAGCATCAAATTGAAAATTGAAAAAAAAAATTATGTCTTTCTGCAGATGATATATTCTTATATGTTAAAAACACTATAAATTTCACTGTGTTGTTTAAAAATGAATTTAGCAAAGTAACAGTATACAAACTCAACACAAATGTTAATTGCATTTTGTACACTGACAATTAACACTTTGAAAAGGAAGTTATAAAAACAGTTTCATTCACAGTAACATTAGTAAAAATAAAATATTTTTGGATTAACCAATTAAATGAGAGACTTTTACAATAAAAACTACAGTACACTGCTGAAAGAAAGTAAAGAAGACATATATACATACAAATGTTAAAGAATTGGAAGGCTTAATATTGTTAAAGTGTCAATACTACCTAAAGGAATCTATAGATTTAATACAAATGGTATTAAAATTCCAATGATGTCTTTTGTAGGAATAGAAAAACGCTTCTAAAATTTATATGAAACCTCAGGATACCCTTAATAGCCTAATATGTCTTATAAAACAGAACTAAAGCTGGAGGACTGACACTTTCTGATATCAAAACTTACTACAATGTTACAGTAATCAAAACATTGTGACACTGGCACACAGACCTACAACAATAGAATAGATAATCATGAAATAAACTCTCAAAAGTTTGGTTAAGTGATTCTTGACAAAGGGGCCAATACCATTTAATTGAGAAAGGACAGTTTCTTCAACAAACGGTGATGGAAAAATTAGATATCTACATGCAGAAGAATGAAGTTGGATCTTTACCTAAGACCATATACAAAAATTAACTCAAAGTGGATCAAAGAGCTATCAAACCTAAAATGGTGAAAGTCTTAGAAGACAAAGAGCAAAAGTTTCATTACATTGTATTTGGCAACGATTTGGGGGATGACACCAAAGGCACAGGGAACAATAACAAAATAGAAAAAGTAGACTTTATGAATCGCTTTTCAAGTTGTGCATCAAAAGACATTGTCAACAGAGTAAAAAGGCAACCCATAGAACAAAAGAAAATATTTTAAATCATATAACTGATAAAAACTAATATCTAGAATACATAGTGATCTCCTAAAATTCAACAATAATAAATGAACAACCTGATTAAAAAATGGGCAAAAGATTTGACTAAACATTTCTCTAAACAAGATATAAAATGGTCAACAAACATATGAAAAGATGTTTAACATCACTAATGATGAGGGAAATGCAAGTCAAAACTGCAATGAGATCCTACCTCACACCCATTAGGATGACTACTACCAAAATACCCAGAAAATAAGTGCTGCTAAAGATGTAAAGAAGTTTAAACACTTGTGCAGTGTTGGTAGGAATGAAAAATGGTATGGTCACCATGGAAAACAGTATGGTGGTTTCTAAAAATATTAAAAATAAAATTACTATATTATCCAGTAAATCCACTTCTGGGTATATACTGAAACAAATTGAAAGCAGGGTTCAAAGAGATATGTAAATAAATATGTTTATAGTAGTATTATTCAAAGCTAAAATGTGGAAGCAGCCCATGTATCCATTGACTCATGATTGGATAAGCAAAATATGGAATACACCATGGAATATTATATATCCTTCAAAAGGAAGGAAATTCTGACATTTGAGACAACATGGATTAATCTGGAAAACATTGTGCTAAGTGAAATAAACAAGTCATGAAAAGTCTGATTCCACTTATATGAGATGCTTAAAGTAGTCAAAATCATAGTGACAAAAAGCGAAATGGCAGTTGCAAGAAGCTGTTGAGAATAGGGAATGGGGGGTCAGTGTTTAATGGGTTTAGAGTTTCAGCTTAAAAGAAAAAGCTATGGAAATGGATGATGGTGATGTTTGTACAACATTATGAATGTATTTAATAACACAGAACTGTATACTTTAAAGTGGATAAAATGGTAAAGTTTATGTTGCTTGTGTTTTATCATGATAAAAAATTCAAAAAAACAACATCGTCTATGAAAATCCAAAAAAAAGCTGTGAAATGCAACTCTAAGCTAATATTATAGTAGTTTTGAACCATATTACTATGTTTTATGTGAGCTATGTTTAGGTTTGGCATAAATTATAATATTATGGGTTAGAATGCTATAAAAGTACTAACCTTTGAGAATTACAACACTTCTAGACAAAGCATAACAATTGACTTACTGTCAAAACTTCAGAAAATCATTTGATCACCCATCTCCCTATATTCTTATTCCTAAAAGGGGAATTATGGCACCTCTTTATATGGATTTCACTGAGATTCCAAGATGATCAACTTGGAAAATGGATTTCAAGTGCCTTGAAATATATAAAACATGAGGACAGCAGTCAAATATTATCAATGAAATGATAAGGGTAAGTGAAACTTTATAGAATGAATAAGTATACAAACATTATACTTATGAATAAGAATACAAATATTTTTCTCTCATTAAACTTAGAAATATTTATTTGTTCTTGCACATTAAGATTTATATGACAAGGTGACATTTAAATTGGTTTGAAATAACCTGGGTGCAGTGGCTCACGTCTGTAATCCCAGCACTTTGGGAGGCTGAGGTGGGCTGATCATGTGGTTGGGAGTTCAAGACCAGCCTGGCCAATATGATGAAACCATCTCTTCACTAAAAATACAAAAATTAGCCAGGTGAGGTGGCAGGCACCTGTAATCCCAGCAACTCAGGAGGCTGCGGCAGGAGAATTGTTTGAACTTGGGAGGTGGAGGTAGCAGTGAGCCAAAGATCATGCCATTGCACTCCAGCCTAGGTGACATAGTAAGACTCTAACTCAAAAAAAAATTGTTTAAAATAAAACTACAGTGCACACACAAACACACACAGATACACTAAAAGATATACTGTGGATTTACTCTACCTCATCAAAATTAATAAATAATTCACTATTATAAATTATTGATATTACATTACAAAGCTTATTCCAAACAATGTGAGAATTGCATTGATTTTTAAAAATAAAAATTAAAAGAAACATTTAAGAAATCTTGCAGGAAAGGATGTTTCATTATTCGCTCCCTTTCCTACGGAAGCAACTAAATTGAATCAGGTAAATATGATCTTATAGACATGACTGCTTGAATGAAATGTCACTTATAGCATTATTTAGATTTGTTTGGTCATTAGTTTAAAAATGTTAATTTTTAAAACAGATTTTTTAAATTATTTGAATGTTATTGAACTTCTGAGTAATTGACTCCACAGATAAATGCATGATTGGTTCCAAGAGGAAATCAAGAAGGTACAATTACAGTGCTTCACAGAAGCCTAGAATTTATGCTAAACCAAAAAAGGAAAGAATTTTGCAACTTAACAAATGGGCTGGTATGGGCTGAATGAGTGTGTTCCCCCTAAATTCATATGACGAAGCCTAAATCCCTAATGCAGTGCAGTTTGGAAGTGGGGTCTTTGAGAAGCACTTAGGTCATGAAGGTGCAGTGCTAATCACGGAATTAGTGTACTTGTAAGAAGAGAACTGAGAGAGATGATTTTAATCCCCCTCTCCACTGCATGTGAGGACAAAATGAGAAGAAGCCTGTTTGCAAACCAGAAAGAGTGCCCACACCAGACACCAAATCTGCCTGTGCCTTGATCTTGGACTTCCCAGCCTCCAGAACCATGAGAAACACATTTCTGTGGTTTAAGTCAGCTAGTCTATGGTATACTGTTATGATTACCCGAGCTAAATAAGTTACAAATGGAAGAACATTTATACCTATTGATTTAATACTTTTAAAGTCAGTTTAAACATTAATTTTTTTAGTTGTGGCATCATAGGAAATATCCAATGTGAACTTTATTTTTTAATCTAATTTAGAAAGAAATAATTGATATCATTTATTTGGGTTCAAAACAACTGGTTAGCTATACAGGTTATGCCCTAATAACTTTTACTTTATCGAGTACATATGTTTTCTCTTTCTCTACCAGAGTCTAGAGTGTTTTTTACATTTCTGTGAGTGGATTCATGACTGGCATTCTCCTGTGGTAATTCTAATTATGGACATATTCTGATCAGGATTTATCAGCTGGACAATTTTCATGCTATATACAAGCCCTGAAGTTAGTGAGCTCCTGCACATGTCAACTGTTAATCTAAATGTTTTTCATATTCCGTTTGTTTGTTTGTTTCATGTAGCAGAAACAACATCTGTTCCAGAGGGCATTCCTCGTATATATTGAAAGTAAAATATATCCTTACGCTTCCATGAGCACTTAAACCCAAAATGATCACAGACTGAAGAGAGAAACATTGAACAATCTAATAGAATGAGAGGACTGGAAGTCAAGGGTACACCAAGCAAGAGTGTAACTTGGGATAACTCAATTTAATATTCTGGTTTTCATGATTTTGTTGTTGTTGTTGGAGACAGAGTCTCACTCTGTCGCCCAGGCTAGAGTGCCGTGGTGTGGTCTTGGCTCACTGCAAACTCTGCCTCCCAGGTTCATGGGTTCATGCCATTCTCCTGCCTCAGCCTCCCAAGTAGCTGGAACTACAGGCACCCGCCACCATGCCCAGCAAATTTTTTTGTATTTTTAGTAGAGACAGGGTTTCACCGTGTTAGCCAGGATGGTCTCGATCTCCTGACCTCATGATCCACCTACCTTGGCCTCCCAAAGTGCTGGGATTACAGGCGTGAGCCACCGCACCTGGCCACGTTTTTTTAATATCAAATAGAAGTGTTGGTTTCTGCTGAATCCTTTGACGTACAGCTGCCAAACAGTGGAAGTACACTTATTCTGTGAAATAAAGTTGAACAAAATTAGGTATTCATTAAAGTTTACATCTTTTTATCCTCCTCATAACTTTTTTTTTTTTGGACAAAGTCTTGCTTTGTCTCAGACTGGTGTGCACTCTGGTGTGCAGTGGCACGATCTCAGCTCACTGCAACCTCTGCCCCCTAGGTTTAAGCGATTCTCCTGCCTCATCCTCCCAAGGAGCTGGGACTACAGGCACATGTCACCATGCCTGGCTAATTATGTTTTTAGTAGACATGGGATTTCACTATGTCGCTCGGGCTGGTCTTAAACTCCTGAACTCAAGTGATCCGCCACCCAACTTGGCCTCCCAAAGTGCTGGGATTACAGGTGTGAGGCACTGTGCCAGGCCCCTTCTCATAACCTCTTAAAAGAGATTGTGCTCTAGCAATCAGTGATTTTTCTGTTTTTCTCAAAGAAGCAATAAATGCTATTGAAATTTAAATCAAGAAAGGGAAAAATTGGAGATAATTGTGGTGAAATCATGATAATAATTTAAGGTACTCAGTTTTTATTTTTATTTTTTAAATAAATAACTCTCTAGCCATGATTCAATTAATTATCATAATGCTCCCTTGAGGAAGTTAACCTGCTGGCATTTTTTGATGAATAAAGACGCTATATTTTACTCTGAGAGGTACCTCTCCCAGCTTTATTTTTAACATTAATTGTCCTTTGCCTAGAATATGATAAAGTATTGCAATAACACCACATATGTTCTTTTCATGTTGTAGCAGGAGAAGCCACAGACAAAACTCCTCAGACACCAAGTTAAAGAAGGAAGGGGTTTATTTGGCCGGGGTCTTCAGCAAGACTCCTGTCTCAAGAGCCGAGCTCCCCGAGTGGGCAATTCCTGTCCCTTTTAAGGGCTCACAACTCTAAGCGGGTGCATGTGAGAGGGTCGTGATTGATTGAGCAAGCATAGGGTATGTGACTGGGGGCTGTATGCACCGGTAATTAGGGCGGAACAAAACAGGATAGGGATTTTCACAGTGCATTTCTATACAGTGTATGTAATCTATAAATAACATGATCGATTAGGTCAGGGGTCGATCTTTAACTACCAGGCCCAGGGTGTGGCACTGGGCTGTCTGCCTGTGGATTTCATTTCTGCCTTTTAGTGTTTACTTCTTCTTTCTTTGGAGGCAGAAATTGGGCATAAGATGATATGAGGGTGGTCTCCTCCCTTATTCCCCCCTGTTGAGACTCTCACTTGTTTTATTAGTGAGAGATCTCACTTTCATTTTCTAAACTACCCATGTCTTCTTGCAAGACAGATCAATAGTGATTCATATAGTACACTTGTGCTGAAGCATTTTGGTGAACTAAGGTAGCGATGAGGCTTTCAATCATTTGAAGAAGTACAGGTAGCAAACAAGGGAGCAGTAAGCAGGTTCCTATTACTATTATAACTCTTATTGTAAGAGTTTTAAATTCTCCTAGCGCTAGGAACCATTTTCCAAACATGGCCCTATGATCAAACCCATGCCACACTTGCAAGGGCACATGTGCCAGTTTTGTCATATCTCTAACTATGTCTTCAACTACTTGCCCTTGATTATATATGTGTAGGCAGCAATTAGTAAGGTTAAATTTCCTACAGACTTCTCCTTCAGCTGCTAGCAAATAGTCGAGAGCTAATCTTTTTTGATAGACAGCATTTCTCATCTGAGTTTCTTGCCTGGCTACAATAGTTAAGGCTCTGCCGGTTTTATTAGTGATTACTTTTAAGACCGCTTGTAACCATATGATTCGGTTGATCATGTAAATGGGGGTCCAGTATCCCCACGAGCCATCTTGTGCCTAAGTGGCAGGCCTATAATATTGTATGATTCTCTCAGGGGGCCATTTATCATTTTTTCAATTTCCTATAGCTATGCTTCCCTTTTCGCAGGAAGCATAGACAGGGAAACCAAGGAGTTCACCTGTTTTTATGGGCAGTAGAGAGAAAGATGGTTTAATAGTGCCAATAACACAACTATCTGCCCACTGGTCAGGTAATTTGATGTAAGCTCTGTGACCACATATCCAGTATAATCCAGTGGGGACTGTCCAGTCCCAGTGGGACTCTGAGTGGGTCCGCATGGTTTGTAACTTTGGGAATTTACTAAATGGATTTCTCTGTGTGTGATTTGAACTCCACCAAGTGACTGTCTTTGTGGTACCATTATACAGTTTCTGTCTCAGACAACTAAGTCATCCTACAGGGTGAGTGAATTCTTTTCCTTCTCTAGCTATGCAATATTGTCCAATAATTGAGGCTTTTAGGACCCAGAAATTATCAGGGTTATTCTTTTGAGCCAGGAATTCATAAGGAACTGGGTCTGTAGGTACTAATTTTCGGGCTTCCCATGGCCATTGATCTCTCATTACAGTTCCTCCACATACATAACATGAAGTGACATTGAGAGACTGGGCTACATGCTCGGCTAATTGCAAAAACAAATTTCTTGGTTTTCCTGGAATTTCTGGTACTGGCACTTTTAGTTTATCACAGAAGTTTTGAAATACTGTCTCAGGAGAGTGTTTATAAACTTTTTCTCAAACCACGATATTTACTTGAAGATCCAATCTAAC